CTATAGTTTTTGAAGGAACAGTGTATGGCAATCGTGCACCAGTAATGGCATCATTTTCATCGAGGGGGCCTAGTTTATTTGGACCATATGTGATCAAACTAGATGTGACTGCACCAGGAGTGGACATTTTAGCTGCCTGGCCACCAAATGTTAGTCCAACACAGCTCAAGACCGATAAGAGAAGTGTTGAATTCAACATAATCTCTGGCTCATCGATGTCCTGCCCNAATGTTTGTATTGTGATACGTGTCCTCGGCATCAAAGGTTCTTTGGCTCCATCTGCAAGTGACACGTGTCCTTAGTGTGACTAATGCCCCCAAGGTCTATTTTCAAACACGTCACCTCGCCTCTAATACCTCGAGGTATGAGTGGTTGATTAACTGTTATCGTTACTTAAAGTTAGAATTAGTCAATAATTATTGACTTGCCTTTCTAAAGCATTCAGAATGGCGGAAAAGGACAAATCAGTAACCAAAGATAATGAGACATGAGACATAGAGCACAAAATTGGGGGCTAATAGACAAATATGCCTGCACTCGCACGCAGCCGTCACAAAGAGGTATTAAATGATCCATCAAAAGGATGAGACGTATTTATTGCTCGAAGAGTTTCGACGAAAAAGCATTAAGTGCTCGGGGGCCTGAGCATTTAATGCCCAAACTTCTTCCACGCAAAATGAAAAACACTCTATCTAAGGACTAAGCACTGCTTGTTGCCTTTCAAATGGGCCAATGGGGGACTTCCTCTTTAAGGGCTCACCTGTCCACAATGATTACCTCAATGGAGGTATAAGTAACTCTAAAAAACTCAATGCAAAGGTACGCAAATTATATGCAAGCAATAGAACTAAACTTTTCCTTCTCTTCTCTCACATACTAACTTGATCTTTGGAGGGGTCATGCCAAAAAATACTGTGGTGTCCTTTTAACAATTCTTTTTGTGTGGCATAATTCATCTTGACACACCGGAATCGCACAATCTGTTGGAAAAGTAATTCATCACCATTCATTACACCATTTCTCACCTCCGTTTATCACGGGATAGTCTATTAATTTCGAGTTCACCAAATGAGAGATCTGTCAATTCTTTTATTGTGCAAAAATCACCGCGCAAAATAGTTTTATTTTTTATATCGAGATTTCAATTAGCATATAAATTGACAAGTCAGATGTTTTTATGCAATGACCAATTGAATCAACCAAGTCAAAATTCAGGGACAGTAAGCACCTTCTACCGGCGAGATGGAGGAGGAGGACAATGAGCCAGAGACGAGGGTAGGGGTACTATTCTGTTGTAGAATAGTTTCCCGTGTCAGGACTTATGGGTTAAGTGACATAATTAGATAGACAATTTCTACAAGGCATAGAAATTTCAAAAGATAAATGGAGACGTACAAAGATTTTCTTGGACGAACATTTACAGGTCCTTGATTACGACACCATTCTGGTATTGCCGGCAATACCATACCCAAGTTTGCTCCCGACCTTTAATTTTGTTTTGATTTATTTGTGACCTTTAGTCGTGAATATAATGAAGTAAAATAAAATAACAAATTATGAAAACTTTACACGTGTTTTGTTATGATTGGTGAAAAGTAAAAAATAAGCTACCAAAAAATAATTTTATAGTAGTTCGACCCATTAATTTAAATCACCCCAAAAATAAAAAAATAAAAAAGATTTGCTGATGGGACGAATATTCCACATGTGGGTGACATAAGTCCGAAATTAGAACCTTCTGATTTCATTCTTGACGAAAGTTGCTGGCCTTTTCTCATCGATGTAATCAAAGATAAATTACTTACACTAAAATTAAGATATTTATAAAAAATAAATTTAACGTGAACATCTAAACTTACAGTTCGTTCTTATTACTACTTGAACTATCCTTAAAATAAAAAATATGGTTTCATTACCGTTATTGTAGAAGTTAAAAATCAATCAACTGAAATATTTTTTCCTGGAGTTGTCTATAGAAAGAAAAAAATCGATGTTGTACTGACATTCATCATTTTTGTGAATATTTTTATCATTATTATGCGTGTGTTTTATCATTGTTGTTGTACCAAAAAAAAGTAATAAAAATAATTACCATAACAATGGTTAAAATATCTACAAAAGTGATAAAAATACCTATAAAAGTAATAATTTTTTTGTACTAAAGAAAGGTAGTAAAAATAGTTATTACAGTGATAAAAACACTTTTAAAATTGATAAAAATACTCATAAAAATAGTAAATTATCCACAAAAATGCCTACAAAAATTATAAAAAATGCCTACAAAAATAGTAAACTTTAGAGGTACGATACTAAATTTTTTTTTTTAGTATCGTATTCAAGTTTTTTTTTCATTGTTTAACAAATTAAAACTAACCTACTAGTCATGTAATCACACGTCCCCATCCTCTAAAATTGACTATAAAAAGTGAATCCAATTTAATACCGACTTACTATAAGAATCATATGTTTCATAGTAAATTGTACGTAAATTCTAGAATTAAACGTTGTACAAACTCCAATATAGATGATGTAGACAGATCCTAACATCATCATTTTCAATCAAATTCTATGTAATAATTAAATTCTTATTGATTTTTTTTATTAATTTGAATTATACCAAGAGGTAATTTTGTGCACAACTCTATTTCTTCACTCAAAACACCGAACAAATTAGACCATCTTTCCATATACAGAAAAACTACATGATCACACCGGGATGTTCTCATACGGAGCCGCACACTTACTTCAATAATGTGGGAAATTGGGAAATAGGTCGAGTAAACTCTCCCGTGGTTGGAAACATTACAAAAGTAGTTTTACTTAGAGAGGACTTTGATTAGAAAGGAGGGCCCCTAAGTATAGTCAGAGTTTGTAAGTCTGGTTCAAATTGATACCAGATGATGTGTGTTATTGAGTATATATAATCTTTATTACAATGGAAAGAATCAAAATTCATAACAAACTAGATTAAATCTTATCAGAATATAATAGGATGCTCTCAGTAGTTATCCATGTAGTGGCTATTGGTTTGTTCAGTGGAGTGGATAATGTTGGACTCTTTTGTATTTTGAATTGGTTGGTTAACTAGTATCTTATTTATACTACTTTAAAATATCAACATACAAGAAAAATATTTTTTTTTTTTTGACTTTTATCCTCCAATACTACAACTATGACATGCTTATTCTCCATATTTAATGCCACAATCTATATCTATATTACTACAATATATATTTTATCATTTACTTAATAACTACAATAATTGAAGGATTTTGAATTGCAATTGCAATTGCAATTATAATAGGTGCATTAAAAGAGACTTTTTGTACCAGTGAAACTTTTGCCTTTTCAACTCTTGGCATCTCTAGAGTCATCAATTTTTTTTTGATCTAAAATATAGTAAAGTTCATTCAAGTAGGAAAATGTTGACTACAGTCAGATGTAAAAAATTCTTAACCTCTGATGAGAGACAGTTGACCCAATTCACAACAAGAGAATTGGATAGTGTCGCTGTTGTCACCCAATGAGTTGCCCTATTAAGGGCTCTTGGATTATATAAAAACCTAAGANACAACAAGAGAATTGGATAGTGTCGCTGTTGTCACCCAATGAGTTGCCCTATTAAGGGCTCTTGGATTATATAAAAACCTAAGATCTAGGTGTCTACCATAAGATCTTCCACAAAAACACTTATCTCCTAAGGAGGAACACCTTCGGTTGAGCTAAGCTTAATTACCTCCTGATTATCACTCTCAATTGTGCAAAACCGGAAGTGTAATGCACTTGCAAGTAAGCGGGCTTCTCTTACTGTTGTCGCCTCTTACTAGAGTCATCAACTCACTTTTGCAAATTTGTACTGTAGTTATAATACTTATAATTGTAATCACGCAGATATTTCGAACTGAAAAGTCCTAGCTTGAGTTAGTAATCCAAGAGGCAACTGAAGAGTTAGAATCTTAGATGCTATAAATTCTAGGAGTAAATTTTAAGCTGCAGTAGATAAATCTTAACCATTAGAATTACACGCCTAACGTTTTTTCTAGATGGTTGCAATCCGAAAATCTCTCTGGGGACACTGAGAGTACTGCTCCTTTCACTGTCATAAGCATATTTCTATGCTTGCTGATCCCTGATGCACCCATGACACCCTCACCCCTGTCAATGGTAACTCGTGTTTTTCTTTATATATTTTTTTTTTCAGATTGTAATGGATGTTGTGCTTTATTGCGTAAAATGTACATAAAGGGGCACCAAAGAAGTATATTGAGGTGTTTTTTAACCAAGAGCATGATAAAATCTTGGAAGAGCAAGGTTATCCACAAAGTAAGATCCACTTTTTCTTCACTTTCACTCTTGTTATTGAAGTTGATCGTGCAATTGTGTTTTTTGGTCGTTACAATCTTGTGAAATTTTAGGTTCCATGAACTCTCTATTTCCCACATTAGTTTATATATTAAATAAACCATAGAAATAGGAGAAGAATGTTTTGTACCCACGAAAAATATGTTCAAGATTTGATAAAATGACACAAAATAATTGCCCAAGATAGTAGCTTTGTGAAATTGCTTTTTAAACATGATGTTTTGGTGTTGACTTACTGCAATAGATGATAACATTTGATCAAGGAATTCGAGATACAAACTAGTAAAAATTTTCAATGTGTTGCCAACTTAAAAATTTTATGTCCCAAAATATTAGACAATCCCCTTTATAATAAAAAATATCAGAAAACACATAATGCATGTTTATTAAAAGAATATACACCAAGATTTTCAAAAATTTTCATATGATACTTGAGCAGATCAGCATGATTACTACTAGCATGCACATAGATACAAAATATTGAGAAAGACACACAATTCCACAAGCAAGGAAAATGGTAAAATAGAACGGTTGCTATCAAAGATGGGAGTAGAGTTGCTATTATCAAATTCGTTCTATTTATATTATATATGTCATGTGTGATGTAGAAAATTAAGTAATTAGTTTCCTATTTCTAAATTTAATTATTTGCTTTGGTATCGGGATCATTCTTGGAATTCTATGTTTGCAATTGAATTTTTATGATGCTTTAGGCTCTTTTCGTTTTGTTAGGAGATATTCTGGTGTAAATTTATTGTAAGACAATGAAATAAGAATCGTTGAAATTTTTTGAAAGGTTTCGAAATATATTGTAAATCATGGACAATAATAATGATATCCGCCTAATAGACCATAAAATTTTAACAAATAAGTTGAAGGGGGTAGTCCTATGGACACTTTGATTCTTAAAATGACATTGATTTTCTATCAAACCAAGGATGAAAGAAGAAAGGTCGGAAGAGTTTACATGAATTATGTTTTAATTTACTTCGGTTTTATTCTATGAGGTTGGACGGCTAAACATATTGATTTCTCTTTGAATGCATTGTAGGCCATATAGGCAAGCATTTGGCATTTCATTGACGAGGAAAAGTCAAACTAAAAGAAATTGTCAAAGGATTGTGAGCTTCCAACTTTTATTTTTGTAAGTGGAAATCACATTTTGTCGATGATTACGAGACAATTACAATGGTTTCTAACTATTTTGTAGAGCAACTCCAAAGAGAGTTGTCATTTTAAGGTATTAAATTATTTATTTATAATTTTGAACAGTATTTTAATATCACTGAATTATAAATTTATCCAAATAACAAGTACTAAAATAAAGTGTTATTTTAATATTTTTTATTGCTTAACGGGTATTTTCTTGCAGTTGCTCCTAAAAATATAATTAAACCTATTTATAAACTCTTTCTTTCTCTCTCTAGAGTTGTCAAATTTACCACCCCAAGAGTATGAATATCATTTTTCAACCCTTGATGTCATGTCTGAAAAATTTTAAATTTGAAGTGACATTTTGACAATTATGGAATTATCGCTCCCGATGCCACTCTCTTTGAAATTGCTCTAACCATCGCATATGTGCGCTCTCTGTGGAAAGAACATTTTTTCTAACATATTTGTGATTTTACATTTGGTGTGTCTCTCTCTATTATGCTAAGCATCGAAAGTCCCGCACTTTTTCATGCTTCTATTATTCGATAGAATTATTTATTTTTTTACCAAATTTAAATTAACAAAAAGGTTGGGATAGCAATTGCAACAAAAGTCCTCTAAAGACTTGAAAATTAAATTAATGGAGAGGGATCTCCATCCACCCACCCACCCAAATTCCTTTTTTACCAGCTTCACTCCCTTGAAATACAATTAATATATATTTTTTAGTTCACTATTGGTCTCACGAATGAGTTTTTGTAACTGACAAAAAAAAAAAAAGGAGTTTTTGTAAGCTCCTTGGTGCATGACTATTCCTTTAATCAACTCTAACATTCTCGGAGTCTCACTCAATAAGAAGGTATAAAAGATTATTTGTCTAAAATTTAAAAATAAGATAGAATTTATAATTTAAAATGGTTAATGTACAACGCACGTGTACAATTAATAATAAAAAGAAAAGATAGAGTCATCGAATATGAAAATTTTGTTAATAAAAAAAATAATTTGAAACAAAAATAATTGTTTGTTGTGCGATGTGTTGAAGGGGCCGAGCTTTTTTCACTCGAGCCTCTAGATTTGTATTTGTCGGTGTTGTTTCCTAATGGTGTGACTTAAAAAGGGGAGAAGTATTAAAAACTCTTTCGTGCTCGAATGGGAGTTGAAAAATTGACAGGAAAGAAAATGACTAATCTTGGTTGAAGTTCACATCGAAAACCCAAAGCGAGAAAAAAAAAAAAAAAACAACTGAATTTTGTTATTTTCACCCAATTGTGTGTTTCCATGTGAATGGTAGGAGAAACGGTAACCACCTGAATTGAAAAAATATTATTTGTATAGAATTTAGTGATGTCGATTGTAGCACTAAAATTTAGACTCAATTTAATAATAAAGAATGATAAGATTGTTAAATAAAGTCATTAAATAAAGTTCATATAACATTACTTATCTGAATTTTTCTTCCTTCAACATTCCTGAAACGAATAATGTAAACCCAAGAATGACTCGAGGATTACTGTAAAAATGTTTTGAGTTTGAATAATAATAATTTTTTAAGGTTAAATAATAAAAGATTTATTTCTCATAAATATTTTAATTATAACGTGGATGACTTATTTTTGACTGAATCGAAAAAAAGGTTAGTCAAAATATATATAAGTTAATCCAAATATCCAGACACTGGGAAAAAAGAAAAACGAGAAAATAAAAGAAACGAATAACATAGAATATTAAACTCGGAACAGCCCTGTACCATGTAATCATCTAGATTACTTATGTTATTACACACGTTATTGAAACCAACAAGTTTACCTGGGTCCATGTTGTAGATCATTCATTCGTAAGCCGTCGTCTCTCTCTCTCTCCCCTCCTCTTCCTCTTCCTCCATCTTCTTCTGGTCATCAGAATCCCTCATATTGTTCGGTGATCAAACCTTGTAAAGGTACACTTTGTCCCTCTGCATTCCTATTTGTTAAATTCCTATTAGTTGTTCTTGGATTAAAGTTTAATTGTTTATTGTGATCTTGTTTTTTGTTAATTAACGAAAAACCCATATCTCTTCACAATCTTTTGTTGTTCTGTGTCTGATCGATCTTTCATTGTAAAACTTGCCGTCCTTTTCGACCATAAGCTTAAATCATAGCTCCGTCTCTCTCTCTCTTTCCCCCTCACTCTCCAAGTTATTTTTCTTCATTATAGCACCGAATCCAACAAGAATTTCCATCAAAGGTAACAAACCTTTCTGATACCTTCTTTTTCTTTTTATTTCAGTGTACTTTTAGATAAAACATATGGAATTCATCTGAAAAAGATCCATATAAATACATTCAGTGAAAGCCAATAAATAGTATAATGGACAATTACAATTCTTCACCTTCATATCCATATTACAATTCATATGGGTATCCTCATGTTCCACCTCCAAATAATCAATACCCACCTCTCAGTTCTGGTCCATATCCACCTCCTTCATACCCTCAATATCCACCACCTCCATACAACCCTTCTCTTTCTGGGCCTCATACCTACCACCAGTACCCATCAGCACCACCACCTCCTCCTCCTCCTCAGCCAACCTCCCATTCAGGCCACTTAGAGTATAGATATCCTCCACCATCACATTCTGGATCGCTTCCCTATCCATACCATGAATACCCACCCCCCCCAGTAACCCCTTCCTCTCCTCAGCATAGCCTTCAGCATCATAATAGTTTTCAATATGGTTCATCCCATTATCAGTATCAACAACCCGGGTCGTTCCCAGCGTCAGATAGCCACTACAATGTTCCATCCCGGGTTAATAGCTTCCCCGGCCATCACCGGCAAGATAGTTCTTCTTCTTTGGATGTTGGCTCCACAACAAATCATGATAATGTCAATGATCACAATCCCACTTATACACCGGTTTACCCACCTATAGATGATCTTTTAACTAATATGCATTTGTCCAACAACGATCCCTCTGCCTCTGCATCTCCCCCAGCGCCTGCGGCTACATCGGTGCCTAATTCGCCTTCAAAATATCATACTTTGAGTGCAGAGTATGACCCTCATGGGAGTGCATATGGTTATTCTGATACCTCATTTTCAAGCAGTTGGGAGGGATCTTATTCAGGTCAGATTGAGTCCCCTACGCAGCCTGCTCTAACCCATTCAACGCCATTTGCTGATTCACCACAGAGTCCCAGTTGGCAGGTTGTGCCCTTTTCAGGTACCAAAGGATCTTTGAAGCTTTTACTTTTACATGGAAATCTTGATATTTGGGTCTATGAGGCAAAAAACCTTCCAAATATGGACATGTTCCATAAAACTTTGGGGGAAGTGTTTAACAAATTACCACGAAACATGGGCAGCAAGCTTGAAGGGACAATGAGTCGGAAGATTACTAGTGATCCCTATGTCTCGATTTCTGTAACAAGTGCTGTAATTGGAAGGACTTATGTGATTAGTAATGACGAAAATCCTGTGTGGATGCAACACTTTAATGTTCCTGTTGCACATAATGCTGCTGAAATCCATTTTTATGTTAAGGACAGTGATGTTGTGGGGTCCCAGCTTATGGGAGTGGTGGCGATTCCAGTTGAACATATATACTCAGGAGGGAAAGTTGAAGGGTTCTTTCCAATTCTTCTTGGTAATGGGAAGCCTTGCAAGCCCGGAGCTGTTCTGAGTCTTTCAATTCAGTACACCCCTATAGAGAAATTGAGCATTTTTCATCATGGAGTAGGAGCTGGCCCGGATTATTATGGGGTTCCTGGCACATATTTTCCTCTCAGGAGAGGTGGAACAGTTACACTTTATCAAGATGCTCATATACCTGATGGATGCCTTCCAAATCTGATGCTTGATGGTGGGTTGGAATATGTGCATGGGAAGTGTTGGCTTGACATCTTTGATGCCATACGCCAGGCAAGGCGTTTGATTTATATTGTTGGTTGGGCAGTGTGGCACAAAGTTAGACTGGTCCGAGACACTGGTTCAGGATCAGATTGCAGCCTGGGGGATCTTCTGAAGTCCAAATCACAGGAAGGAGTGAGAGTGCTGCTTCTTGTATGGGATGACCCTACTTCTAGGAACATCTTGGGCTACAAAACAGTAAGTTGTTTACCTTATACCAGAAAATCAATGATTGTGTTTACAGTCTTTATCTATTAATAAATTGAAAGATTCTTTTTCTTTCCATGTGTATAAGGTTGTCTCAACAATATGACTTTTTGGCTTTATGCACCAATCTAAAAGAAAACTTGTTACTCATTTGAACCTTTGATCAATCACAGTTTCATGTTGTAACATGTGCGCTTGTGAGCCTTGGTCAATCTCCACAGTGCACAGAGACATGGCTTTACACGTAATCTTAGACACATGCCCCGTTGGTGATATGCGCATGGCCAATTTAGAGCAAAACCTGCAGTTAGATTTGACCAGAGCATTGTGGGTTGAGTCACCAAAACAATATTCTGCATGTGGGGTTAAGGCTATGTACATATGACCTGCTCGGACCCTGCAACGTAGAAGTCTCGTTTATTGGGTTCCCTTTTAAGATTTAAGCTTTTGTAATGCTTTTATATGATACACTAGCATCAAATCAGTTTGTAGAACTATAGATATTAGTAGCACTTGAACATAATTGGATTGATGTCTCTGACTTCTATAATTTAGTTTTTTCGCCTGCATAAGCCCTGGGTTGTGACCAAATTGTTATGTTCAGTCGTCTTGATGAGATATTATGCATTGCGTACTTTTGTTTGTATTTGTTTTCGTCTGCAAGCTTTCTGCATTATGTTCTTTAGATTTAGTCCTCTACAGAAGATTGACCGGCATATTGTCTCCCAAATGTGTCCATGGATCCTAAGCTTTCTATTTTTATCATCCTAAAAGTTTGTTTCTTGAAAAAGATTTTCTTCCAGGAACTTCTGAAATATAATGTTTGTTTAAAGCTTTCTTATATGGGTTTCATTAGTTATTACTGAAAATTGGTACATGCAGGATGGAATCATGCAAACCCATGACGAGGAAACTCGTCGTTTTTTCAAGCACTCTTCTGTGCAAGTGCTGCTTTGTCCTCGCATGGCTGGAAAGCGGCACAGCTGGGTTAAGCAGAGGGTATGTCAATCATAAATTATCCGTCTTGATTCTTATTCTTTTTCAGGCATTTATTATGAACATAAATGTCAAATGCTGTGAAGTTCCAGACCTAGTTTAAACTTCACTGTATGCCATGGGTTTGAAATCTTCGATCATGTAATTATAAAACACAAAAATGGGTTGACAAGTTCAAACTTTTTTCACAACTACTTGGGCATTGCATTTGACATTTTCTTCTTTTTTACATATAAGGACACTAACAAATGTGTCTCGATTAAACTTTTCCCAATCGTCTTTCTGTCTCAATTAAGTTCTTTTGTTATGTAGACACGTGCGAAATTTGATTCTCTAATCAATTACTCGACCAGTTGCTCCTTTTCTGCCGTATAATTAGTTTGCATGTCTGCTTAACGTTGTTTAGCTAGTTTAGCTTTTGATATGTAATGCGGAGATATTGCATCAATCTAATTTTTGTACTGTTCAATGACAGGAAGTTGAAACAATTTATACGCACCACCAGAAAACTGTGATTGTGGATGCTGATGCTGGCGATAATAGAAGACGAATCATAGCCTTTCTTGGGGGACTGGACTTATGTGACGGGCGATATGACACTCCACATCATCCTATATTTAGGACACTACAAACAGTGCACTCAGATGACTATCACAACCCTACTTATGCAGTAATGTCTTATGTATCTTTTGCATCGCATTGTTCAGAGTTGGTGAAAATTGTGGAATAATTGTTGATTGGATTATATACACCATTTTGAGCAGAAGATCTTGAACCTGAACCATATCCTCTTGTCAGCCTTTATTCTCGTGTGTAATTAAACACTTAACAGCAACCTACTGTCACTCCTTTCTTTCCTTATTTATTCATTTTTTGGTTGGGGTGGGGTGGAGTTGGTGGGTGTTGTGGGGGTTTGTTGAAAGGTGGGGAGGGGGGAGGTTTCTCCTCTTCCAGTATAGAGTTGTTTAACAGCCCCCAAATAAAGAAAAAAGAAAAAATTGAGCACTCTCTAAATTTAAAGTGTCCTGCCATATGTCAGCTCACTTGATGCATGCATCGGACCTATGTGCATTGTTGAACAATAAAGGGCAGGTGAATTTTAAAATATTGCTTGACTTTTTGAAATGAGTTGTTATGACCTTTTATTTATTTATTTATTTATTTTTTTGGG